ATCCGTGATCGTACGAAGTAGGCCGCCCGCCACCGGCCTTCAACTTGTGCGTGGACGTGTCAAACCCTCACCATCATCTAGACCATGACCCAGTTCCACAATAGCCCAATGCCGCAACTAGATAACAAAAGCCAGGTTACAGGGTCACTCAAAACAACAGACTGAATTGGCCTTGTTTTTAAATAGCTCGGCACATGGCGAGATATCCAGGGGAAAGTAATACTTTAACACCAGATTAAGCTTAAAGGGAAAATACAACATTTGCAAACATCAAAAAATAAAACTACCAAATCATTTTGAAATACCTTGCTGGACTGTTAGTGAATGACAGTGTAAAGCATCCTGTAAAATCATGGCACCTGGTATACTGTCATTTTCAAGAAAAATGGTATTTTTGTATCAATTTCCAACGCTGATCGGCCGATCAGCGTTGGAAACAACTGGCTTTTTTTCAAATACTGGCCCCAATTGACCATCACACTTGTTTGCAATCGATTACAAACCTATGAACGGGTACGAGCCAGCTAGACTGGTTCCCTGACCTTACAATTCCCCAATGTATGTTAAAGGCTCTGTTTCTTCTTATATGGAGTCAGGGAACCAGACTACAGGAAAATGATCGTTTTTCTTGGTTTTTATAGCATTTTCAAACACAAAACCTCAAAAAAGTCAGTGTAACTATATTTGCTATATATTTCCAACCCCCCAATTCCATCCATTTATGAAAATTACAGCAAAAGCAAATGATGTATATTCCCTTTAACAGAGTAACTAGGGATTTAATCACGGGCATAAAGTGAAGCATCAGTCTTCTGTTCTGAAGCCTGTGCACAATTGGACGGTCAGTTAATTAAAAAACAGGAGAAGTTTTGTGCTGGACCGTCTACGCTGATAACTAATTATTAGGCTATGTCTAGTCTGAATTACTTGGCTACGGATTGCAATTACATACGGGTCAATGTGAAGTGGCTGCAACCGCTACCATAGACTCGTGTGTAATTTGAAGCCATAGTCGTTAAGTAATTCGGACACGGCTTGATTAAATTGGTGGGAGTGTGGCCTAGTGGTTAGGGTTCGTGCCTCATGATCAGAGGGTCAGGGGTTCGAATCCAGCTGCGGATCACATGTTGGGCAAGCTACTTCACTCCTACTTGCCTCTCTTCACCCAAGAGTATAAATGGTACCGGCGTGAGCTGGGGAGTAACCTGCGATGGACTAGCATCCCATCCAGGGGAAATAGAAATATTCTCAGTCGTTTCATGTCACTGAAACCTGAGATAAACGCCAGCCTGATGGGCCACATTGGCTCGTGACAGACTTTACTTTTACTCACCTCATGAAAGTGAGACAAGTGCTGTGCTGGGAACCCATCGTTCCTCAAACGTTAACACGCTTAAAAAGGTTTAGTCAGGCCCTATTTTTGCAGGCTCACTAAGTACAAGATATTGCTGACCAGGTTTTGTTGTATTAAGCAAATATCACACCACGGAGAGACAAATAATAATATCAATCAAATTACACTTTGGTTGGTATCTTTATGTTTGCTTTTAGCAGAATATTAAGAGTGCTTAGCAATTACCAATACCGATGAACTCGATGACATTATTGACCCTGGGATATATACCTATAAAACCTATGTCTATTAAGCTAAATTATATTTGTTAGCAGATTGGGCAGTCCGACCCGTCAGTGTACAAAGTATTTTAAAGTCTTTGGTTTCTGTTTATTAGGTTTTCAGCTTGGAAGTGTCTTTAATTGTCGACGATAGTCATGTCTCGAGTGTGCACCTAGTCTGATTCCCATAACAAAAGATACCGTCTACTCTGAAAAAAAAAACCCTTGAGGTTGAGTAGCCGCCACGTGCCCGTTTCTGTAATGTCCGAAGTTTACCGAATACACTTCGTTGGCACTCGGATACGTTCGCAATGGCTCAGGTATTTCCGTGCGTAAAACAGTTGTTTTTTTATTTAACAACACAATACCTGTCATGCTTGTTATCAGTTTTGAAAATATTGTGTTCATAAATGTATTGCTTGCATTTAACAAATTTCAATGCCAGGCGTGTTATCCAGTATCTGTAAGAAATGCCCAATGTAGATGTGCTTCAATTATGCACTCGTCGTACGAGTGCTACAGGCTTCGATGGCCATGCTCTATTGTGAACATGGCGGCTACGTCACCTAAGATTGTCAGAAAAGTCAGAGTCACCTTGACGCCTATCAATGGTCATGTGTGGTACTATACTCGTTACAAAACGCATCACCTTCAAAGTTCTGTTGTTGGTCTACCGCGCAGTCCATGGCTCCTTACCAGTCTACTTACAGAACTCAATACAGGCATACCACCCCACGCGGGCTTAGATCATCAGATTCCTCCCTTCTTCAAGTTCCTAGATCCTGATATATAATCTTGGAGTGACCACAGCTTCTCTCACGCAGGTCCCACTCTCTGTAACAGTCTACCCCTCTCTCTGGAACAGTCTACCCCTCTCTATCTGTCAAGCTCCCTCTTCGATCTCCTTCAAACAAGAACTCAAAACCTACCTGTTCACACTCTAATCTCCTCTTCGGCTTGTACCTTGCAACTTATATGTCTTGGACTTAGCATTTATAATTCCGTAGTTTGTTAATTACTCATTGTATAGCGCCATGTGTGTCACTGAGTGATGGACCTGTTGCGCTTAATCAGATGCCACTATTATTGTTATTATTTTCTATCTTCAGGCCAACACATGCCACACCACGTTATAAATGAAAGGGTAGGCCTTCCGGCCGTTTGATCCTCAATTTATAAATATGAGTACTTGTCACTTACAGTTGTATAAAGTGCAAGTGATGACCAAATTTCCAATTATTTTCTGTCCTTTTGATTCGTCGGTTTCTAATGGAATCTCTTGAACCATTAGTTTCACTCGATCGAATACCAGAACCCAGATTCTTTGCCCTAAATTTATACCAGCCTCTACCAGTGTTCCATTCTTGTATATCAGTTCGGAGTATTTTAAGAACCCTTTAATTCTCTACCCTGTGAAAAAATAGATCAATGCAGTCAATCATTGGTCTCGGAACAGCAGTTTTGAGAGGCTAAATTAAAGAAAAAGATGAAAGAGCGCAGGCCCCTGGATTTGTGTATATATGAAAGGACCGGGTACTGTAATATTGATGGTTAAGCGCTTTTTTGCATTAGGTTTGTAGGTTCTGACAACAACGCATGCGCTTAAGGTGTTACTGAATTATTCCCGCCATAAAAAAAGGTCTTGCCAGAAGGTCATATTGTGGATCAAATTAGAATCACGACCTTTTTTTCACCTAGAACTCGATTTGTTTTCTTCAAACTTTGAACCATGTTTGCTTTTGGCGTGTTATTATTCTCACATGAGGCTCACAACGAGAAAACGAAAATCAACATGTCGTTGCAGGCCAGGGCATGCCTTTGTGAAGATGTGTTAGATATTGCAGTACTGGTATGTCCCAAAACCTGTTCCCCGTTGAGATATGTGTTGCTCGGATACTACTGCGACACAAGCAAGTGGCTCTGGAGGTTACAGACTTTTCTATATGACGTTGGTTAACTTGCGGATATAATCTCACTGTGTCTCTCTCAGACGATTAGGATCTATATGGGTCATTCTATAAATTTGGGGTCCACTTTCTTTCCTGTTTCTGTTACACCTGACATCATGTTATTATGGATCGCGGCTTATTGTACTCTTCTTCCAAAAGTGATCTGAAGCAAACGACGTACTCAGTAAATAAATATTAATAATCATAAGAACATTTGTAAAGCGCCGGTATCCGCTCGTGGCGCTTGAGGAGAAAGTCAAGTTAGGATTGTGTGTTGTGAGAGTAAGCTTCTTTGTACAGGAGAGATATTATGTTTGTCTTAAATATTGTGATGGATGGAGATGATTTGATAGCCAGAGGGAGTTGGTTCCACACTCGGGTTGACGCTGCAGCAAAGGATCTGTCACCCCAAGGAGTGGAGGTCTTGGGCTTGTGAAGCATCATGAGCTCACTGGAGCGGAGTCCGGTGCGTGCTGTTGAGTACGGGTGGATGAGGTTGATGAGATACTCCGGGGCATTGCTGTGGAGGATTTTGTATACGAATAGGCCAAGTTTGTATCATGTATATACTGGAAGCCAGTGGAGATCTGCTAATACAGGAGTGATGTGAGAATGTTTACTAGTGAGAGAGATTAGCTTCAAGTCATTGTTTTATGACACTTGAATGGCAAATTACAAAGGTCCGAGGTAACGGGCACAAGGAAAATGGACCCTAAATATATAGCATGGCCAATCTGGGAACACAGTACAGAAGTTTTAAAGTTTTCTGTGCGTTAAAGTATTAAGTCTGGTGTTGTGTTATTGGTTCGTAGTGCTCGCCCACCATGGATGGTTGTTCGTTCGCAGCCCGTCTAGGTCTTCATCTTACACAAAAATCACTTCGGTTATTATACACTGTAAAAACGTCGGGCAAAATGGGTTGACATGTAGACCAGTATTGGTCAACATATCAACAGGTTCAACTCTTGGGCAAATTTTTCCCAATAATTGGACAATTTTTTTACCAAAATCAACCGACAAAGAGGTCATTGCAAACAAATGTTGGGTAAAATTACATTGCCCAACAGTGCTTTACCATTATATATATATTTGTTTTACAGTGTAACGCTCATTAATTGAAGCCGAGCATAAACCTCACTAATTGTTACTTGTATTGGCATATATCCGGCCGTCCACTTAATTAAAATGTGCTGACGTGCGAACGGTGCCTCATTAACACTCAAGCGGTGTAACCTTGTGGAAATTACAATCTGAAGGCTGTTTGGATAGCCTATTGAGAATTTTCTGGATGAGATCGGTATGCGTTTCAAGTAGTAGAACAGTTAGTACAAGGGCGCGCAGTGTTGTCCCGACTATAGACGAATTTGGTTGGTAATAGAGTGGTACTCGGAAAGCACAGCACGTCAGTTTTTTTTGTATACGACAAAGGAACGGGGTCAGGTGAACCAAAATGGTTATACAAATGGCCGCAGATGACTGACTTTCAAAGCATATGCCAACAATAATAACCGGCATTGGTTGGCTTTGTCTGCCGCGGCGGAATGGCAGGGTAGGGCCTCTACGTGTAGCCTCGGAATAATTTACTCAAGTTGAAAGTTGGACAGTGAACCAGTGGAACAACCTGGCCTTTGTTTTCTTAAGGATCCAACCATCTTTCTACTGTAAGGCGACTTTTTGAATGGTTCAAGCCGCGGCAGCAACTTTGATCGTCGTTGGACAGGACAATCTGTTGTACTATCTTTCTCGGCAAATTTATACCATCAACATCAGAAGTCGCAAGTGGAAGTAGCATGACAATTTCACCATTTTTGTGCACCTGCATTGCCTTCAATGTCCCATACCTCAGCACTGATTGAACAATAGCCATACAGGAGAAATCATTCCACTTCTATAGACTTTTTGTCTGTCACGGTTGGTGGACCTTGACGGCGGGGCTATAATACCCAACACAACCAAGTTTGTCAAACGGTAACATTAAAGTTACGGACTTGCTGATGGCGGGCACGCGATCGAGCGCTGGTCGGCGGGTGGACGCGAGCCTGAGAGCCGGGCGGTTGCTGCCCATCATTGCCGAGGAGACGGCCGGTGGGCACTGTCCTCTAGACGGTGAAATCTTTGACGATTGTCACGAAATGAGTGCTGGCGAGGACGATACCTTGACAGACGTCAGTGATGCCTCTTTTGAAGCTCCCAGGTTTGTAGCTGCCAAAGTATCGAGATTCCTTCATGTATATAAGCTGTTGACGTTGTTGCTTTCAAAATTGAATTGTTTTTTCCCGTTGGTGCCTATAGCTCTATGTTTTCCCCCTTGTGTTTGGTGTGATCCATATTCTGTTGGTGTGTGTGGTTACTTCAGCTAATCGTTGTATTTCATTGGCATCAGTTTTTAAATGTGTTGTAGATCAAAAGAGGACTAGACCACCGTTAGCGGTTTTTCTATAACTGTATACTAAGACGCAGTTTAAATTAGTGGTGTCGATGTTGAACCATTCGTGCAAAAAAGTACGTTTACATTCGTAGAAAACTATTATTGTATAGACACCACATCAATCACTAGGTTTACTTGAATACTGCAGTTTTACCGGCTGTACTATATCTGTCTTTCAACTAAAAGTTTCAGAGTGCATTGCAACACGCACATGACTTGTCAGAACAATCATGGCCCTCAGGCAAAAAAACCCATATTCATCAAACGTGGGAAGGCCGCTTTACACCCACCACGTTAAAGAACCATTCAGTCATATCATCCATGCCAACTCTTTTCAAGCTTTTCCTATGCAAGGCAATATGATTGATGCCATACATTTTGAAAGCCACGATCTCTCCCATAACAAGCAAGCCTTTCTTACATTTTTCTTTTTCATTGGACCACACTTTTGGGGAGTGTAGCCTAGTAATTAGGGTAAGTGACTCATGATCAGATGGTCAGGGGTTCGAATCCAGCTGCTGACCATATATATGTCTTGTCCACCGGCAATATCCGTACTTGCTTCTCTCCACCAAGGCCGAGTATAAATGGGTACCGGTATTAACTGGGGAGTAACCTGCGATGGACTGGCATCCCATCCCTGGGGGATTAAAATACGGGGTGAGGCAAAAAAAAAAAAAAAAACACCCCCGAAACCCATATGTCGGGACTATGGTTTTATTGAAGTCCTGCATGTAGCACTTTTAAAATCTAGGATATGAAAGCCCAATTCATAAGCTTTTTTAAGTACAAAAATCATTCAAATCACTCATGTACTTTTTAAGGTACGGAATTTTTAACACAACCACAGTTTTAAAGTTGTGTATCGACGGATAACAAAAAAGGTAAGTATTCTTTCAGCAAAACGAAGACAAATCACATAGGGATGTGTATGAATTGTTTTCGTTTTGCTGAAAGAACGCACACCTTTCTTGTGATCCGTGGACAGAACTTTAAAACGGTGGTTGTGTTTAAAATTCCGTAACTTCAAAAGTACATATATGATGTGAATAATTCTTGTACTAAAAGAAAGCTTATGAATTAGGCTTTCATATTCTACAGTGCTACATACAGAACTTCACTAAAACTGGTCCCGACATTTGGGTTTCGTTTTTTTTTCTCACCTTGTAAATGGGTACCGGCATTAGCTGGGGAGTAACCTGCGATGGACTGACATCCCATCCAGGGGGAATGAAAATAATCGCTGTCGTTTCATGCCAACGAAACCGTACATACACGCCGGTCTGGTGGGCCATGTATCTTGACTCGTGACAGACTTTAATTTTACTTTGCATATACTTTTTTCACTACTGGAAAAAAAGTAGAGCTTTTGTGTAACGTCGTTCAAGGCCGATATGCGCATAGTGAACTAGACGCTTATGATGTTTGTTGCAAAACATCTGGCATTCATTTCCATAAGTATGGATAGTTAAGCCAAACTCCCAATTCGCGTTGCTTATATTTACATGAAAAACACAGATAATCCATCAATTAATTCACATTTGTTGTATTTCACAGTTCATAAAATGCAGCTAAGTATAGGTAAACACTTGGTGGATACTTACAAGTGTATATTAAATATTAACTTGAAGTTAAGGTAAAAAGGTGAACATGTCCCGGTAAGCAGTTGCTTGAGCTGGGGATGCCATACAAGACAAAACGGACAGACGGACAGTAACAGACAAAACATTCGGACAAACAAAACATTGAAACAAGAAAAACATACAAACAAATATTACATTATTACGGTCCTAAATAGGGTACTATACTATAACATAACTTACATTATAAGGATTAAACAACTCAGTAAAGTAATAGGGATAAGTAAATTACAAGGAGCAGTAATTTGTACAGATGCATTTTGATTTTACTTTTGAAAATATTTTGCAACTTTCGTCCGCATTATTTTAACCAGGTACATGCAGTCATTAATGTAAACCCCTTATGAAAAACTATAAAGTAAACCCCTTATCAAAATTAAACTTGTTCTGGAAAGATAACTTTGCAGACACGATGGTGTCTTTTAATAGAAGGGGAAAATTCAGGTATTGCGAAATATTATTCCTAAAGCATTGGCTAATTCGAACACACACGAAGCTGGATGTCATGCGGCACACGATAAAATAAACTATACTTTGAATAACTCTTATAGGCTTTCGTACAAAATACTTTGATACGGCATTTAGTTCTGTACGCATTCGTTTGTTAAAATTGAAACAAACGAGCTTTAACAATTAAGAATCCAAAGTTGGCCAACGATGCATGTAGAACCACGTTTTGTTTTGTTATTGATTGGTTATTATTCGTTCCGCTTTCCTGCTAGTGTGTGTGTGTGCAAGTGCAATTAATAACAAACAAGCAGTGGAGTCATTAATCTTTCTCGCTGCGTTCCACTTTTTTGCCTGTACTCAAAATGCAGAACCGATTTCAGTTGTTTGTTTCGAGCAAACGATTGCCTTCGTTGCTGGCATTGCAATGCTTTGTTTTTGCTATATAAATAACAATTTGGTATAGTGTGTGGAATGGTTTACATTGTGGGGCAAAACTCATTTAGCTGAAGAGCTCTTGAAACTCACATAATGAAATAGCGAGAAAAGGAAACACGCCAGACTAATTGAATAGCTGTCGGCGGGGCTTATACTTGAAATAAATTGGAATAGACAACCCGTAACAAATGCCAATTTCTGTCGAAGCTCGCTAAATTTCTTGGTCTTTTTAATCTCTGGCAACAGAGCTTTTACAGTCAGTTGGTCGGTCAGTTGGTTGGTCGGTCGGTCGATCGGTCGGTCCCCCGCAAAAAATTGACCAAAAACGAACCCCCTAACTCGCCCATAAAACTGTAAGTGCCAAATTTTATCTGTCCACAAGAAGCAAACAAAATACCTTAAATAGTTGACAGTAATTGTTGGTAACAATTCGTGACGTTGTTTACGAACATTTTGTACATGGAGGCAAGATAATGTGGTCATGTTATAGTCACGTGGTACGTAATCCGCTAGGAACTTAAGGGGCTTCCACATACCTGTGACTATACATCACCCCTGCCTCTGGCCCTGTGTCAGTTTTACGAGTCTTCAGGGCGTGTACGTGTGAGGAGAGAGTTGTATTATGAAGGTGAATTTCCAAGACGGCCACATTGTGCGCAGTCGCACTTGTTGTTGTACTGACGAGGTTGCATTCGTGCCTACATGTAGGGCAGGCTCGCGAACTTATATAAGCTATACATCTTTGGGATATTAATAATAACAATCGAATATTTTAAGGTCAGAAAGGAACCCATTGGCCACCTGGTATGGAACATAAATCGATAGAATGCAGATTAGTTATTTCATAAACTCGATGATTATTATTGTTTTGGTGTTGAAGTTATGGGTTAGCATTCGATTCTTTTTGAGAAGTCGATACTCGATCCAGGGTTCGCGTGGGTGGCTAACGTGGGCGGTGCAGAGTGCCAGCTTTTATGCACATGCACTTTATTTTCTTCGGATAATAATTAGAAGCCCATTAAAAAAGATACAAATTGTCAAGGTCTATAGGCAACGGTAAAAACTGTCATCAGAGATGTGTCTGACCACATCTGCATTTTCTAAACAAAGGTATCTCCTTCAAAGCAAAATATAGTAATTTGTTAAGTTTCTTTGGGTAATTATTGAAAATGTGTATACTTCTTTTTGCCTGAAAATGCATAGAAAAGAAGTACTGCTTGCACGTAGAAAATGTCTAAATACTGATATTTGAAATACTGTTATGTTTCGGAGAAATGGCTTAAATGTTCTTCGATCGAACAGTCATTATCTCATTATTGTGGCTGTAAAAATTTACCAAGTTTTGGGAGGGATATGCCCAACGCGAAGGTACTTCCTGAATACTCTTAACAAACTTGGCAAGAAGTGTTCATGGGCAACAATGCGTTGGGGTATGGCGGATCATGCAGGACCTGATTTCATTGAACTCAAACGCACTCTTCTGAGGTAAACAGGTACAAACATGCGTGGGGTTTCGATATCTTTTTTTTTTATCCACTGAGCCGAAACTTTAATAGGCTTATTTCTCAACATAGGCCCCCGTACGCTTTTTCGGACAATCGTTGACATTGTGAAATAACCCCGCGTACCTCCAAATGCCGCCAATTCATAATATTCAACTTCCGCCACAGAATAACCGTTATTAATGCATGCATGATTTTATGATAACTATTATCTATTCCTGTGCGTCATTGGAGCCGAAGATGACCTTGCATATCATGAATATTAAGTTGGATTTCCTGCATAATTGCATTTGATGGTGCACCTTTAGTCGCTGGAAGATTCATTGGTCAAACCTATCAAAACCAGAGAGCAGTTTCTTACAGCTTGGAAATGTGCACATCAAGATAACCATTGCTTGCAGTAGTGACAACAGACTTTATTCAAATGTCGGCCATATTAAATTGAAAGCGAGGTAAACTCTTCATTTTGGAACTTGCGAGTAGAAATCAAAGCATTGAACTAAAAGTTGTTCAAGAATTAATACCAGTTTGCTCTGATGAATAATTTAAAATATGTGATCTAAACATACCTGTTTTAAGCAACAGTTTAGCCAAAATTGAAAACGTGGCTTGGCACGCACTCCAGTCAGAAAATAGTCTGGCACCATCCCATTCAACAGTTTGCAATTTATAAAATAGATTCAGGGAACACGATCAAAAATGGCTTCCTTGTGAATAAGGTCTGTGCACTGTACAGACAAATCGAACTAACAGTGCTAGTCCGTTTTGTTGCTGTAGCTGTTTTTTTGTCATGGGATTTCCCACACTGATGACCAGTTACACAAATTACGTCATCTGTGTCAGGTCAAGGTATATGATAAATTGTTTGGTTTGCGATGACTATTGTTTGACTCTGGAGTCGAAGTTTAACGACGGAATTTATGATGATTATAAAAGTCCATCTGCCAGCAACTTTCGGTTATCTCGACCTTAGCCTTAAAACAGTTGTTTTAAAAACTAATTTTTAAATTCTGTTTTGTTTCTGCTTTGTGTGTGATTTTATGGCACTTGATATTTATGGAGTACTGTCCGTGCAGGAGGAGTTGGCGTTTCACCGTTTCGCGCGCGGCGGTCAGGTGCGTCGAGATGACAGGCTGAAGTCACCAAGGCGCCATCTTAGAGGGCTCAAACTTACACAAGCTTGTGTATTGTACTCTGAGGTCGTTAGATCAGTGAATATAAGGACCAAATGTAACTGTTGACATGTTAGGGGTCCAGAAAAAAGTCTCCCGGCGGCTACAAAATTTTCAGCACGTGCGCTATCCAGTCAGTTTTTATGTAGACATTATGCATAACAGCCATATTCAGAGGGCAATGCCTTTGCTGGGATGTGCATGAGTGAACCTTATGTGCACTCATTGTTACTTGATTTAAATAACCACAGATGTCATCTAAGGTGGCCGGTGCGCATTAGGTCTATAGGCATCAGCAAGGGGCTGAGTCTGTGTTGCTCCCTAAAAAGTTGTCAAATTTGAGTGCTCTCGGACAGTTGATGTTATAAATTTGTGACACGTGTTGTAATCCCATCCAGTCTGAAATAGGAAATGTCATGACGAGATTCCGTGTGATTTTAATGGGCCTTATTCACGAGTTGGCCATTTCTGTCGAGTTCCCTGAAAGTATTTTATTAATTGTTAACTGTTGAATTGGATGGCGCCAGACTTTTTATGCAGGCACAATGCAGCCTTATTTTACTGTCTTTTTTTTTAAAATGGCTTTAAACATTGGCAATGTTTAATTACAAATTTAAACTAATTTGTTGAGGCAGACTGGAATTGATTATAAATTAAATTGCTTTCATTTCTCTTCGCAAGTTCAAAAATTTAAGATTTTACCTCACTTTCAATTCAATATGGCCGACTCGTGAATGAGGCCCATTGCATGGTTTCTTAAACTGCAAACTTCTTTTGGCTCAACGTTTTCAGATGGCACTACATGTGTTTTTAGGGCAGACCCCAATATAGCCTATTTCGTTGTCACAGAAAACAGCGAAATAACACATTTTATATCTGATAGATTTAGTACTGTGTTTTCCTGGTCTCGGATGGTCAGTTTGTTGACAAACGAAATGACTTCATTAACTCAAAGTCTCGTAGTTTTTGTATCTCTCCTCAATAAAAACAGGCTCGATCGGAAATATCTCGGAAACTGCGGGCCAACAAATTCGTGTTCATGCATGAGTCACGTGATTGTGCCATATAGTTTCTGGAAGGAGTGGTGTATTGAGTAAAACAATTCAGAGGTTTGACCACAGTGACCCCATGATGAACTTTGACCCCAGTTTGGTCATGTGACATATTGGGGCTCGGCTACTGATACTTTTGGCAAAGTTTGGTTGAAATCGGTCAAAATATATAGCAGCAATAGACAATGTCAAACGTTTGTTACTAACTAACTTGTAATGTAGTGAGCTTGTCACCAGCACATGGATAATAGTTGTTGCTTCGATGCTTGCTTGGTTTATTGTGTCCCGGTACATCTCAGTACATCACATGAGGTTCTATGCTTATCAAAGGGCTACATTGTTCTAGGGTGCAATCTGATCTAAGTTGGGGCCTTATTCATTATTCATTTAGTAAGTTGGGGTTCATGCATTCCAATGTGGATGAGGTAATGTCTGGGTTTGGGTGTGTGGTTTCAGAGCATGTGGTGCCTATATATACATATGGCTATCATGTAAGGATACTACATAACTAACTAACGGACTAACGGAGAGATATGATAATTTGTTGAGCTGCTACCCCGCAGCTATTAGAGAGCAATGTCCCACATCGCAGCTGTAAGGGCTGGTTCATTATAATAATTCAATAAATGTTTCTGCGGGTTACATTGCATTTAAACTTTTTGTTGCCTTTCTTTGAATATCCTAACTTGTTTCATGAATACAAGGACAAAACCTTCGCATCAATTTACACGTGGAAATATTATATCAGTGTCAGTGCCGTGTGCATTAAATACCCTGTTAAAATGGACCATCAACTTTTCCAGAATACTCAATGCGTTAATGCATTTCTGCGCTCGTAGGCATTCGTGTACAGTACCAGCATAGTTGCAGAGCGCTTTGAGGCTTTGAAACTTTACGACCACTTATACACATGCAAATTAGCTGGAATACTGGCATAATTTTACTTGGTGCCTACTGCGCAGTTCAGAAATCGTGGTAATCGTTTATTTTATGTGCATTTTGTAGGCATCAACCGGTCGGAATAGAATACTACCTTATCGCGTAGAGGCCCGCGTACTTGGCAGTCGGAAAAAAAATATTGGACTGCTGTCGTTGCAACGACCGATGAACATTGTATCTGTTGTCATTTCAAGTGTGTGTTCTTGTCATCACTCGACGATTCGAAACAATCTAGACTGTATCTCTGACTTGGGTTGCGTTCCAGTATGGTGTGTCTTCATCGGACTCTAACTGTGCTTGCACTGTATGATTCATACTTTCGAGAAAACGGCATTTACAGCCGCGTCGTAGAATTCCCCAGAACGGAAGAGCCCTTTCCGGATATGCAGCGTAACACTGGTTGATATACATCTGTGGATATAAAAAGAAAACCTTTTGCTACAGTGAAGTTGAACTGTCTTCAGCAAATCTCCACTTAAAATCTCGCTCAGCCTCAGTGAAGATTATTGCGAGAAGTCCCACCGCCTTGCAACCTACTTAGCGAAAGAAGATAACAAGACAAGTTCTTTTTGAACTTAGCAGGACAGTTCGTATCAGAACTAAATCTACTAAGCGACAGTAGTTATTACCAGTTCCAGAAACTGAAACTATATAAATTTCCACTGAAATTGTCAATGGTAGTTGACATCGCCAATTACGTATACCCGTTCGCGAATGGCAACCAAGGAGAGAGGCAGAACCCGAAGTCTGGGTGATGAACCCGGCGACTTGCAGCTTGAGCAGAGTCTATTCGACATACTTCCCGCGTATGTATCCATCACTCAGTGCTGTTTTCTGACATTTGTTTGAATTCCTTATTCTTTCATTTCTCTCTTTCTGACCTTGTCTCATGTCTGTTTTAAGCAGTAACATTCAACTGCAATTGCGTTAGCGTTACATTCAAAGAAGATAGCTTGATTATACTGATCAGTGTTCTAAATGTCCAAACCTGTGAATTCTGCTTGCGAATGGTTTCTGCTGATTTTGGTTCTGGTGAGTTCGATGAGCAAAGATGTCTCGTGAGTTCAATAGGCCACGGCTGTTTCATAGCGCCTCTTTTAAAGTCGCGGATTAATTCTTGCGAGTCAGTTTATCGATTTCCTTACAGAAAATGGATCGTTTCTCTTCTCGGTGTAGAAACGAATCGCTACAAAAATACTTTTGGCTTGTATACAGTTTCAACTTTTGTCACAGAAAACATAACATTTGCGAATTTGGCTTCTTAATTGACTCCTTATTTAAATAGAATCGCTTATTGCTATGATTGGTGTCAGCACATTGTGAGAGGTTTCTGTTTCTATTCAGGTTTAATTCAATCCATTGCTCATGCGGGCAAAGCAGCATCGATTTTCGATCGATCGATCCCCAAATGTACCAGTAGCGATAGGCATATGTTGTCACACATAGAAGACGTTTTATGAAAGAACGCCATATACAGAACACGTTTATGTTGGAGGAAAGAAGTTTGTTTACAGATGTTAAGGCTTGAGAAAACCGATTCTTCTTTTTGGTTTAACTCTATCATCTGTTTCTATCCAAGGAATAGTATTATAGCTGCCGTAAGTACTATTTTGTGCACTGTCGTGGCGCTGGAATGTTTGCGTTTTGCTACTGTCATATGGTTTTTGTGTGTGTGTGTCTTGCTCGCCAAGTTTTGGTAGCACTTTGTAGTGCGTCAGACGAAAGTCACAATGGGTATTTGGTTTACAGGGAGTGTGGCCTAGCGGTGAGGATGTGTGACCCACAGGCCTAATCAGATGGTCAGGGGTTCGAATCCAGCCGCTGGCATAATGTCGTGCCCTTCGACAAGCCACTTTACCCCATTTGCCTTTCTCCAACCTGAAGTATTATGGACATGGCATCCCATTTAGGGAAAAAGGCAGAGAAACCAGAGATAAACGCCGATCTAATGAACCATAATAATCAATCACAATGTTTTTCCCTTGTGTCAAACTTGCACCCAATGCACCATAAACAAAAAGGATTCATAACACGTGTACGCGCATTGTGTCTTGGAAGCGAACAGAATCCTTGAGAGAGACGGTGGAAGAATGTTAAGGTTTTAGAAGATAAGAACTGTAACTCGGAAGCTGAAAGGAGGAAGACCACACATATATGTTTGAAGTGGTGTGCGCGGGGAGAGGAATGGTATTCCGGGAAACCATACAAGAAGACAGGGGCTGATAACCCAATCCACATGTAACATCGGTGGGATTCTAACCCAGGTCACAGATTTGAAAGTCAGTTTAAAATGTAGCCCTGTGCATTTCCCAATCAATAATCTTTCATTGCAATTTTTCTTCTTTTGCAGCCAAGAGCAGGTCTGCGAGCTCTACCAGCAGCTGCACGCCGCCGATTTGCCGCAGTGCCTGAGCCAGTTCGAGAACATCATCTGCGAGACGATCAAGGACATCAAACAGCAGCAGTCGGAAACGGACCGGCTGGAGAAATCGCTGAAAAGGTGAGTCCAACGGCAGTTGTATGTTCCGAGTTTAAAGTCTCATCACACGAAACGTTGTGTATGTAGTTCAGTTTCAGAAGCATAATTAAACAGCATCAGTCGGAAAACGAACCTACTGGAGAAACGGCAGAAAATGTGAGCCCGACAGCAGTTGTATGCACCTGAACAACGACAGACAACGCAACAACGACACCAACGACAACATTTCCAATCAACTGAAATGTTTTTAAGTTCATGGCTTATTGTTGTCGCAAAGAGAAATTGCGTGAACTTCATTTGGTAATAACTGCAATTTGGTTGTAGAGTTCAAGCAAAGTGTGTTGCACTGTTGTATAACCGTTTGCTGCTATATTGGTATGGTATTGCTCACGTCAGTAGTCCCTGCAGCTATTAACAGACAATTAATATAGCCGTTACCGGTAATACTGTCTAATCAGAGTGTTACGGACTATTTACGAATCGCACCATTCATTAACCGAGTATGAAACAGGTTTAAAGCACTATTTTGACAGCACTGTTTTTGTGTTTATACAATCATACCAGGCATGAACACAATAACTGTATGGTTTTGAGCGCTTGCGCTCAAATCTGTGTCATGCACTTGGAACAAAACAAGATTTGTCATCGTAGAGGAAAACTCAAGAAACGTGCTTTCGTTTTACCGGGCTTTCGTTTTACCGGGCTAGTCTTTGTTGGCAGCGGGAGTATAGTGACCGGGGATTGTTGGTTTAATCCCCCCTCAAGAAAGCGTCAAATACTAACACGGAATCCGTGATATGCCCTTCCGTGTCTCCTTTCAGTAACAATTATAGGATCTGATGAAGAACAATATACGCAAGACTTGTTGAATTTAAGTTGGCCATTTGTGGCCTTTCTCTGTTGCTTGTTTGTTTTTTTTGCTTGTTTTTTTTGTTTGTTTTGGTTTTAAATGAGACTTTGCGGTAACACCATGTGAAAAAAAGTTGTGTGGTTCTGAGAAGAACCGGTTGTTTTATCTCGACGTTTCGAACAGTGTGGTCTGTTTGTCATCAGGAGACTGTCCTTATGACGACAGAGTCTCCTGATGACGAACAGAGCACACTGTTCGAAACGTCGAGTTGAAACAACTGGTTCTTCTCAGAACCACATAAGTCAAAAGAGATACAATTTGCATTGTGTTACCGCAAAAACCTTCCATACTTTGTTTTTGTTTTTCAGTTATTCCCGATGTTTTTTTGAAACCGAGGAAAATAGGCGCCCGAACTTACGTGTGACAACAAATAGATGTTTATCCCTCCCAATTCTAGCGTTTCCACTTTTTATTTCACAGTGCCTTTGAAGAAATTTCAACATCTCAGTGAATTTTTCATTTAGTTTGTAAAAATAATAGTTGGGCAGATAGGGAAATGTTTTTGGCAATTGTGCCTTTGATGATACAAGCATGGCATTTGGCACACAGCCAGAGTGTGTCCGAAGAAACATATTTGGCTATGGGTTCATCGCAGATTTGTCCAGTGACAAAATATATAGGCATTGGTAGAATAACAAGCAATGGCGGCCATTTCAAAATGGCTGCCATTGCTTGTTATTCTGAACAAAATCTGCGATGGCCCTATAGCCAAATGTTTCTTTGGACTTACTCTGGCTATGTGCCAAGTATACTTGTATGTTCAAAGGCACAATTCCTGTATCTGCTGTACTCTAAAATAATACAATAACCTAATAATAATAACCCACGGTTTATACAGAGAACTTCTGCTGAGGTTTACCAAAGACGTCATAAATGTTATTTCCATGTAGCCGCACAATACTTGTAATCGAATTGTATACCCTCAGGTTGGCCCTGGGCTTTTGTTTACCACATTCCAACATCAAGCACTTTATTCTCTGATATTAAAAATTATTAAAATTAAAATATCGGTGAGATAACTATCAGGTGATATTAATTGCCAGGCTGACGTCACACGGTATTGTTGGAACTTGGCAAATGGCCAGACGGCAGTTCGAACGCGAACGCACCATATGGCGGCCACGTTGGACTTATTGTATGCAGTACGGGCCACGACATGAAATTGCTGGTTAACATTATTGCAACGGGAGCGCGATTTACATAAAACATGTTTCATTTTGAATGAGTTTGCTTACCTTGCCGGTCACAATATAGACAATGGGTCTTTTAATTAATTTTTTTACTGGTGAAAGAATGAATAATTATGAAATACACACACTGTTTTTGTTTCCTTATTCATTTAGTTCACAACTGCAAGTCACGAGCAATTTTTATACAAAACCATATTTGCTTAATTTTGTAGTCCATATTTTCCATATGAATTTTCAGAACATCGTAAATTGTGCCTATGGCAACATCAAGGCTACAGTCATTGGGGAGTAGAATGAACGTCGAAAATCGTGAGGGAAAAAGAATGTTAAAAATAGTGAATAGCAATAAAGATATCAATCACAAAAAAGAAACTGTTTTACTTTCCATAGATGGATGTTTGCACAAAGTTTGTGTATTGCGTAAAGCATTATTTTCACCATGGGCCCCTTGAAGCTATAGTCCATCATTTGTAATGTGTGCATTTTGTTCGTTTGAGCAACAAAAGTGTTCAAAATCTAATGAAGGATACTGAACAACTAAGCTGATGAAGTTTCAGCTAAGCTTCAGCTGTACATTCCGAGAAAAACAGCATTCTAAGATCTCAATTTCAAATCAAAAGTTACTGAATCATGTTTTGAATTGTTTTGAATTGCAGCTATACGCGGCGTCGCGCACTGATCCGACGAATTATAACAACCGCGCGCGCGTGTGCGTCGTTCCAATACTTGTGCGCGCTGCGCTGAATAACAAAACGAACTACTAATTTAAATTTTCCTACGGTGCGTCTTAAGAATCACCGTTGGAAATGCCTTCTTTCGTTGATTACTTCAAAATGACAGCTTCCCAGAAAGAATAACTTCACAGGGAGTTTAGTTCCCTTACTATCTTTCAACCAAGTTTGTTTTTCAACAGTAATTACACCAGTTACTTTTCGGATGGCTGCAAATGATGGACTATAGCTTTAAGTCAGTCCAGGTTCCTTTGAGAATGCATAGGCTACGAGTGTTGCTGCAGTTGGTACAATTAAATGGAATAGAGTTTTCTTTAGTAGCTAGGCCCCAATATCCGCTTTGAATCTGCATTTTTAAATTGCTTCACCAAACTGTTTACAATAAAATAAGCCTGGATTAATATGTAATACCTGCAATATCATACTGAGGAATAACCTCCACCTTTGACGTTTCAGGTTACAAACATCATGTTAAAGCGCAAATCATTGGCTTTGCAGTGATACCAAAATTATGTCTGTAGCTTTATTTACTCCAAAGATATGCCGCAGGAACTTCAACAGTGTCCCGCTGAACTTTGCCGACCTCATTTTGATTAAAACGGCTTTGTAAAAAAAAAGAAAAAAAAATACGAATTGTGCCGCCAACAGCAGTGAGAAACGTTCTTCAGTTTTTTTTTTTTACTTTTGGTGTTATTTTTCCCTAACAAAAATGCAAAGTGTGAATCTTGGCTACCCTTCCGCCCCCGCCCCCCCCCCCCCCCATATCGACATGATTGTACTAGATTATCCGACTTCAGGCCTCGATTACTCAAGACAAGGTGTTTTTTTTTTGGGGGGGGGGTATTTTTGCATTTTGCCACAGCAGGTCAAATATTCTTTTTGTTTTTGATTGGGTGTAGTACTTTGCAATACAGGCCAATGTAAGGCCCAATTTGGAAAACAGTTACAACTCTTTGGGACGTATACGGAGCGGTAAGAATTCAGTGAAATGTAAAGATTTCATCAATCAAGTGTCTTTTTCTGTGGAGTGATGTGGTTAAGGGCATTGGATCCGTGGTCTGCAGGTAAAGCTGCAGGTTGTGGGTTCGAGTCCAGCCTGGGGTCATGGTGCGTGTGCCCCTGGGCAAGGCACTTTGTCACTCATTGCTTCTCTCCACCCAGGAGTAAGTGGGTATCTGTGAGGGCAGAGAGTGTGGTTGATATAGCTGCTTTGCGCCGAAATGGCAGCATCGAGCTGTATACTCCCCAGGGAGCTGAGATGGTGTTAGGAATGTTTCCATACCCCAATGAGCAGGGTAATAATGATGCAGCGCCTTGAGCAGCAGTCCTGGTGGATACGTGCGCTTTATAATTACCCTCTTTTATTATTATTATTATTGTTATTGTTATAATTATTCCTCCAGGGCCAACGAGTCTCACACGACCCACCTACAGCACCTTGAGACGGAGATGGAGGCCCAGATGGCAAAGGTGGAGCAGCGGGTCCGCAAGGAGGAGCAGGAGGCGGCGCACACGGAGCGGGAGGATCTCAAGCAGAAGATGGAAGCTGAGATAGCCGAGCTGCAGAACAACCTCAGCCGATTCCACTCGGTGAGATTCCGTGCATACACTCTAGAAAGTCCCGGGATCAGATTTAAAACCCGAAATTCGGGTCGTGTTGGACCTGACAATTTTTCCGGTCAAAATGACACTTTCTGGGGTAACATTGTACTTAACCGGGTAAAGATGACACTGTTCTGGGTAATATCTGATCCGGAAAGTGTCACTGTGACTCGGAAACGTGCCATTTGACACGGAAAAAGTGTCAGGTGAAATATGACCCGGATTCTGGGTCAAATCTGAACCGCGACCTTTCTTTTTTTTAGTGTTTACACTGAGATTCGTGTATTTTAATGCGCAGTCTCAAATTCACCCAGATATGTGTTTATAAAATCCTCGGTTGCTTGTTCAACTTGCCATTGTCTTCTTCTACAGCTACATAAAGTATTTATATCTTTAAATTATGTACATAGTAAGAGCTATCATTTTCAGCACTTTAAAGCATAGAATGATGAGAGCTTGCCGCCAATTTTTTTTTGAAAATGTTAACTCGTTAAGCAAACTTTTACACAGCCTTTGAAATATTTTGCTATAGGGTGTAGTGATGTTCACTTTACATAAATATAATTCTGTCCTAATATCTTATTCTTGAAATAGACCGTATATTTAGGCCCCCAAAAAAGTCTCCGGTTTCTGGTATGGAGCTTGCCCAAAAAGTGGTGCGGCGACGAGGCTTTTTTTTTGTTTACCTGATTTTTTTTGCTTCAAATGTCGGCTGATGACTGCAAATGGTGCCCGACTAAACTTAGTGCAAATATATGGGAGTCCAGAGAGGCCACATAAAGTTTATTCTCGACCATAACCCAATCTAAAAACACGTTAAAATTTTGCAGCAGCAGGATTCCAGTCAAACCAGTGAGTTTGGCGGTTTTGAGACATCATCTTTCATTGAAAAAAAACTTTTTCTTTTTGCCGACGCGCATGGCTACGGCGACGCGCGCGCATACCAGAAACCGGAGACTTTTTTTTTGGCTTAAGCAATAATCCGTGTTAGGCTGACGAGCAGTCTTTTCTCATTGTGGATGCTTAAAAGTGCAGCTGTGATGCAGGTTGGGCGCATATCGCAGAGCGCTCCCAATCACACGGTAAATCATTCCATTTCCCACTTGCCCGTACCTCAGCGCAGTCCTCGGCATTTCCGTAGTTATCTGGTTGCCCTGGTTTCCAATTCCTATACTCCACCTCACCCTGGCACTTCCAAGTTTCTGCAGATCAAAGACATTACACAAAATATATAAGGATGGAAACTAGTCAAAAGATGACTGTTAAAGCTGGTATAGGACTATACAGGGTGAGTAAAAAAACCCCGAAACCCAAATGTCTGGACTATTATTTTATTGAAGTTTTGCATGTAGCACTTTCAAAATCTAGGATGTAAAAGCCCAATTCATGAGCTTTCCTTTAGGACAAGAATCAGTCAAATCAATTGTGTGCTTTTTCAGTTACGAAATATTTTAAACACAACCACCGTTTTAAGGTTCTGCCCACGGATCACAAAAATGGTGCGCGTTCTTTCAGCAAAACGAAAACAATTCACGCGCATCCCTATGTGATTTCTTTTCGTTTTGCTGAAAGAACTTTTTTTGTGATCCGTGGTCAGAACCTTAAAACGGTGGTTGTGTTTAGAATTCTGTAACTTGAAAAGTACATAAGTGATTTTAATGATTTTTGTATTGAAAGAAAGCTTATAAATTGGGCTTTTACATCCTAGATTTGAAAAATGCTACATGCAGAACTTCCCTTAAACGATGGTCCTAACATTTGTGTTTCGTTTTTTTTTACTCACCCTGGACGTGCTTTTTGGGTGTGGCAACCCGACAAATAGATTTTCAAATGGAATTGATTATTTTCTAGCATTAAATTAGTTATGAGCTTTCCAATGTGACATCGAACGAAAAAAAAAATCGGCCCACGATAAGTAACCAATTCATTTATTTCAACTTTTGAATTAGGAGCGTCCCGCTCCTATAAGTAGTTCTGATGCCAGCGGAACGCCTAAGGTTTATTCCCAGGACGGCTGGGGCCAAGTCATGAATAATTCATTAGTTTTGATCGGGCCATTATGTTTATTCATAAGACCAGAACGATGATATATATCAAGAGCATTGTTGTTATTTAGTCAACCAGTTTAAAATTAAAGCATTTTAAAGAACGGTCGTCGCCGAGCTGCCACAGTAGCCTAGTGGATAGTGAGATGAGCTACGGATATAAAGATCCCTGGTTCGAATCCGCGTCGTCGCTGCTCATTTCCATCTACTATTTTTCTTCTCTAAATTTATCATTGGGATAATTTTTATTGAAGGCAAAAAAACAGAACGCGAATCTAATTGTCTTGCAACGATTCAAAGGAAAAACTGAATTATGCATGACTTGGCCCCATCCCTCCTTGGAAAAACATATATGCCAGTGGGACCTAGTTACGCATGCGCCTTTGTGACAGTGCAGTTCATGAATAATAATCTCGACACCACACATTACAAGTATACGTTACTTGCATGTAGAGACCATTATAAATGATTGGTCTACGGGAGACTTATGTGGCTCAGAAGAATTCTCCGTATATACCAGCTTTAGAGGAATTTTTTTTTATATTTGAATGTTTTTCCTGTCTTCTCTCAATTCCTGGAAAGTCCATCCAAATCAATTAAAAGTCGTCCAATCTCAACTCATGACAAAATTATTCACCTCACCCGATACTTCCGTGACCTTACCGCTGCTATCATCAACAAGTAAAAAAAATGCACTGTTGTTGGAAATAGAACCAAAACATTTGAACGTACCTTCTTCTTCAACATCGTTGCAATCGATCCAAAACAGAGATGTCTGAGGCACTAGATGCAAGAGGAAGTCACATTCCTCCTGAGACCGTGGCACGACCAAGACACTTCCCATCTTGATGCACTCCTTTTTTGCGTCAGACCATTTCAGACCCTCAGTGATGGCTTTGTAACATTTGCGTCCCCACTGGTACCAAGTTGGAGGACACGCCCATCCATGCCCAACTGAGGCCTTACAAACCTCGTTACCAGCAGCGCAACCCATCATCAGATAAAGGCTTATCAAGCCAAAGATGAACCATTCAGACACCATCATCTCTCACATCTCACCAGACCGGTGTCTGATGGTGAAATGGCTGCGCATCAGGTGGACTCATCTCGAAGAGCATCGGGGCTCAATTTTCTTTTTAATTCCAGCCAGGAAGATATCAAAACATGCCGGGTTTCCTGTCTTTTTTGTCGCTGTCGCTCACTTCTGCTCAGTGTGTCATTCAGTGACAGGAGAAAAGCAATTATGATTTGGACTCCCGACGCCACGTTTATGACCGTGAAACTTCTCCACATGAATGAGAATTGACACGTGTTTACCAAGACGGTTCAAATCTAGCAGAACTCATCGCTGTGTTTGCCTCGTTAACTTGAGGATGATGTGGCATTTCAAAGGATGCGAATGACATATCATTTTGCAAGTAGGCCACGCTGTATTGTACCTTGTTATCAGAGGCAAGATGCGTCAAATTATTATACTTGTCAAAGTGAAACTCCTTCTAATCTTAAGTTAGGTTATATCCCACCCAGATAAAAGTGGGAAAAACCAAACCAGACTTCGCGGTTTCATATCAAGCACTGATATGGAATATCAGTGTTACAATGTGAATTGCAGTGGAGTCTAACTGCTTTCCTACTTGTTTTAACCACGTACAATTCAGCCACGAAACTATGGATTTTTTTTTTATAAACCAAGAGTAGTAATACATGTAACGATATTAACATAATGCACTTGCCTAGAACAAAACATCACGTTACTGGAAATACCTGCGTTTAGATTTGAAGCGTTTATATTTTGAAACAGTGCTGGAAGCAAAAACGTGAGCCAATTGGTAGCAATTTTTTTTTTTTTTACATATTATTTACTTTCCTCAACTTCCTTTAATTGTTTTTAGATTCTTCTTGAAGATGACTCTTGAAGATGTTTTTATTAAGGAAATCGAATTCCGAGACCCATTCAGTTAACAACATTGGCTCGACTTTTTTTCCGGGTCAAAAATGACACTCCTCCGGGTCAAAAAAATGACACTTTACGTTACAAACAGACACATTTTCCGGGTAGATATGATACATTTTCGGGTCAAAACGACCGGAATGGTGTCATTCTTGCCCCGGAAAAGTGTCAAATTTGACCCAGAAAAGTGTACATTTTTGACCCGGAAAGTTTCATTTTTGACCCAGACAATTTCATTTTTGACCAGAAATAGTTTCTTTTTTTGACCCCGAAAAGTGTTATTTTTGACTGGGAAAGGGTTGAGCCAAATAAAACCCGGATTCCGGGTCAATCTGACCCGGGTGTTTTGAGAGTGTACTTGTATAAAGTAATGCCGTCCGGTTCCGACTCTGAAATAGACCTACCTGCCGCCATGGGTTGTTGGCTGCGAGTGAAAATCAATACAAACCGTAACCTAATCAAGACATTGACCTTATGATATCATCATCGAACAGTTTGAGAAGCGGTGGCAGCACCGGGAGAAGCCCAAAGACGAAGCACTGAAGAAGAAACTGGACGAGTTGCAGCACGAGAACAGACAGCTCAAGAGCAGCCTGACGGAGGCACAGACCAACCTGGCAATTACGCGGAGCGAACTGGCTGCCTTCAAGTCGGAATACGATGAATGCGTGGACAGGTATGGGGCCAAATCAGATTAATTTTTATAAATGCTATTTGGTAAAAACAAGGTTCCCTGCAAGTGCAGAGGCACTGTAACTTTAAAGACTGAAAAAAAAGACTCGAAAGAGGAAACGGTGAAGAAAACTTAGGTCTTAGTAGATATCCTAGGTGTTTCTTGTAAAACCCGTGGAATCGGGCAGGGATTTCAGTCAAATCCACGGGGACGTAATTCGGAGCTGAGTCACAGAGGTGTCAGGCAAGGGAAGTACAACTGCCCCGTCATTTTTTGATAGAAATCTTACTAAATTTTGAAAGATCGTAACAGATTTATTTCAATCTTACCATCTCCTACACACATTTTTAACCTTATCTAATCGAGTCCTATCTTGCCCATTTACTTATTTTTTTCACAGCGACAAAAGTTTGTTGAATGAATACATGTACGACCACGACAGCTTAGCGAGACAAGTACTCCAGTTGCAGTAAGTACAGCATTCTGAAAAAAAATAAACACTTCCATTAGGGGAGAAAGTTAAACCAGGGACTTAAACTTTGCACTTTACAGTACAAACATTTGCATTATTAAAGGAATACATGCGTTTGACCAGTATTAAACACTATGTTTAAAGACCAGTTATAGTCTGGATGATGATTTTTTTTCTCAAGCCGAAGGCTGGGGTAATAATCAGCATCCAGACTCCAACCAGTCTTAAACATAGTGTTTAATACCGACCAAGGACATAATTATTCCCATTCGTAAATACCCTTTCGTTTAAAAATTCAAAACCTTTCGGTCCAAAAGTCAAAACAAGTCAAAAATGATAAATTTCCAACGATATTGTTCAACAATTTTACTTCATGTTTTTCGAAACAGCCCTCTATCCATCTCGCGAAAAGGGGTAAACAACACCTTATATGGAGATTGGTGCATGCGTCGTGCGTACTGCGCGATGTGGCGCAGAACTCATCTGTGCCGGTGCATTTTGAAAAACCGACTCACTGGTGGTATTGCGCATGCCTACGTGAGGATTGTAAACTTTTAACCAGTAAAACGGTAAAAGGCACCGGATTTCATAGAGTCCATATTTTATCAAACACTGGAAAAAGTGTTGCCGTTTGAAACTGGCCACGTAACGGGCTCTCGACCAATAGGAACGGGTAAACTGTCTTAGATATTTATGAATATTACTTAAATCACATTTACTTTATACTTGCAGAGAGGCAAATAGACGGTTACAAGACACAAACGACGACCTGAGAGAGTCTTTCGACAGCATGAAACGGGTAAGCCTTTATTTATTTACTGGTAAAACTCAGATGTGGGTAAAGATGCAATGTGGAATGGCCTTAAAAAAAATCCTGCATTAATTTTTAAGACTTGAAATTAGTACCACCTTAGACACGGCAGCACAATTCGTAAGGGCATTGTTAATGATCAAAGAGGAATTACGTTTGTATTGAGCCAGTTTTATATTGTATCTTCCTTGTGCACAATAAGACTGTGTATCTGCTATAATTATTCCGAACTGGCTTCTTCAAAATTGCTCCTTTTGCCACCAACATTTCATATAGGTCTACAATTTAGTGCGCTTTGGAAAGCCGGGGGAGCATGCTGCGCAAGGCAAGGATAATATTGTTGCACTGCAGTGAAACGCCGCTATAACGACACTGCTATAACGAATATTTGGCTATAACGAACATTTGGCTATAACGAACATCCCCTTAGGCTCCCGAAATAGTAAATTCTATTATAAGGCACACTCACTATAACGAGCAGGCACTATAACGAACATTTAATGGACCCCACCGTGTTCTTATAGCGGCGTTTTCACTGTATATGGATATCGGTTCGGCTCATACATGACATAGGCCTTTGATAATCAGGGGAAAAGACGCAAGTCTTCAGCTTTGTGATCAATTGTAACCGTTTGTTTTGCTTTTTTTTGACAGAATTCCCGTTCGCTCACTCCAACGAAACAAAAGAGGCTATCCATAGGGGCAGCAGACTACTACAGAGAAGACTCACCAGTTTTGATGAGCTCCGTCATAGATCCGTGAGTATGCGTGAAAAATATAAATGCAAACATGAGATGTATGTTTAGAAAATCAAAGAAAATAAACTATAGAAATTGACGTTTTCCCAAAAATGCATGTCAAAATTGAATTGTTTAAACGATAACTAACAGAGTATGCGTAAAAAATATAAATGCAAACATGAGATGAATGGTCTAGAAAACCAAAGAAAAAAACCCACAGAAATTGGCGTTGTCCCGAAAATACATGTCAAAATGGAATTGTTTAAAACGATAACAGAGTAAACAAATTTGTACCAAATTTGTATCAATTTGTACACACATCAATCTTTGCCCGTAGTAAATGTAATGCAAACAGTTTCCTTCCAAGTAAGAAAGAATAGAAAGTGAATAATGTTGCCTTTCATAATGTGTTGGCATGAAAAACTTCCATCAAAAGAAATTTTCAAGCACAGCATGGATATAATTGGCTAGAGAGATCTTCTGCATAGAGACTATGAATATTCATATTGAATACCTAATGACTATGCAGATCAAGTAGCAGAAGGAGGCGGAGCTTCATGTCTCAGGAGTCGGTGGAGAGTGAGCATTCTGTGGGTCTGGCGTCGTCGTCCAAGAGACGGTTCGTGTATCACCAGACTGCGGACGGGGAGAGCTATCCAGACGAAGTCGGTAGGTCTGAAATCAGGATTGGTTCTACCGTTCAGCGATGCGTACATAATTGAAAATTTGAAGAAAGATACATTTCATCTCGATTCCAATATTATTTTAATTGAAGGTGTCAAATCGGATATGTGTAATCGATGCTTGTTATGCTTTTATGGAATGTTTTATTGATACCAACTCATGGCAGCTTGTGTTGAAATATTGATGGTGGAGCAGAAAGTGGTTCCTATTTGTAAAACATCCGAAGCACAGGTACAAGTGTTAGCTACGATTTTGGTGCAGAAATTGAAAAACAAGATCTTGAAAGTGCAAATCCAAGTGTTAATATTTTGTGAGACTAAGGAAAACTGTCACTCCGACAAGCTCGGTGTTCGAGTGGTATGACGTCTGGACTAGTAAGCAGGAGGTTGTGGGTTCGAGTCCCACCCCAGTAGTTTGTGAAGTTTCTCACAATCTCTCGCGGCAACACTGAGTAGGCCTATTATAGTGTTTATAAAATAGACCGAAAATCAAAACTTGTCTGACGTGTTTTTAAAGTCTTAGCTGCAACACGAAACAGTCGCAACTTTCCTGTTTCATACTAGATACAATGGCTAATTGATCATAGACATTGTCTTTTACTGCTTGCGGAAATTCCGTTCTCTGGCCTTTAAACATCGGGAAATTCTTTGTGTAAATTGCTTGCAGCACAGCTCCACTAAAGCTTTTAGTAAAACCTGCTGGTACCTGAAAATTGTTATACAATGCATTTTGCCCACAGGCACTTCATTGTAAGGTTCATACACACATGGCTCACCGTTGCTGGTGTTTTTAGTTAACAATAATCTTTTAAGGACTTTCTTTAATTTATTCTTTTTCTAAGCCGCATACAATCGATTGTACAAATATGAGTATGAAGGTGAGTGTGTGCAAAAAGGAGAATAATATTTTCTTTCACACAAAAGCGTGCAGTGAATACACAGAAATTACTATAAGTCACTATTTGTAACCTTGTTTTGAGTAATCGACTCCCTCAGTCGGATTTAATAGAAAAATCATGTGAAAATCGATGTTGATTGTGTTGTATTTTTGAGAAGTCAACGTATCCAAGGTACACACTACGCATATTTATTGGGAAAAAAAATACTCCCAAAATTGGTAAAGTGAAAAACGTTAATCATTGCCATTGGCGGCACAATGCGTTACTTTTTTTCAAAGCCGTTTGTTTTTTTCGAGGTAAGGTTGGCGAAGATTGGCGGGAAACTGCTGAAGTTCAAGCGACATATCTTTGAAATCAATCCAGCCACATAAATAAACTTGGGATCATTGGAAAGCCAATGATTTGTGTTTTAACATGATGTACAAAACTTGAAAAGTCAAATGTGGGGGTTATTCCTCGCTATGCTATGGCACGTCACATTTGTTTAAAAAAACCCAATAATTATGACAATACTGAAAATATTTTCTTTGAAATACGAAAAAAAAAAAGTTTACCAAAACATAATAGTTTTAGATAACATATAAGACAAGCAATAAATTGCAGAAGTGTTTTTGGAAGACAGAAGGGCACACCGATATTGTGATTGTTTTTTAATTATTATGATTGTTCTTCACGCTCTTTTTGGAATCACTTGAGACTCCGTACTAAAATATGTAAATCATTAACCGCTAAAAATCGTCAACCGTTGGAGTGCTGTTGACTCTAGAATTAACTAACGAAAAGTTACTAACCAATTATCTGTGTTAAACTTTTTGAAATCACTTGAGTCTCAGTACTGAAATATGTAAACCATTAACCGTTAAATATCGTGAACCGTTGGAGTTCTGTCGACTCTAGATTTAACTAACGAAGAGTTACTAACCAAGTATTTTGTTCAACTTTTTTTAATCACTTGAGTCTCAGTACTGAAGTATGTAAACCATTAACCGTTAAACATCGTGAACCGTTGGAGTGCTGTTGACTCTAGAATTAACTAACAAAGAGTTACTAACCAAGTATATTTGCTAAACGTTTGGCGTTTTAAACAGTTTGTAGTGTAGAAAAGTAGTTGAATTAACAACTTTTCACGATTTCTAGGTCTGGAGCAAAACACATAATTCGGCCTTTAATTGCTGGACGGATGCACACTAATTGTTTCTGACAATCGTTTTAAAGTGCTAGAGAATTGAATGTATTCCTTATCCAACTGCATACGTTCTGGAGCACACTTCCGAATTTAAGTGAAGAGTAACTCGCTTGATATCTTCAACTAAAACATCTTCACACTAAGACAATAAATGCTCACACCAAGATAAGATAAACGCTCACACCAAGTTAAAAATATGCAATCTATCAAGTGCTTTACTAACATTGCTTCATTTTTTTTTTTTTTTTTAGATTTGTTGAAAACTTCAATTTTAAAATGTAAATGAAATGAAACTTAAAGTGCAAGACCAAATGTTTTCACACAGCACAAACAAGGTAATTTGAAACGGTGTATTTATTTGCTTCTTGTGAAACATATAGACTCCGGTAACTCGACACTACGTGACCCGCTGGAGCTGGACTCGGAGCTTGAAGTGAATTGCGTGGAGGAGGACCTGAAAAGGGCGACCTCTGTCGAGGAGAACGCCATCAAGGAGGCCATCCTCGTGGGGGGTCAGCAACAGGTAAATCATTTCTTAAACGATGAGTGGATAAGCACTGTTTGAAGTCATTAAGCAGAACTTCAATTGCACTTGCAAGCAAAATTGCACTGATAATAATTTGTTCGAGTAAAGGGTAGTATTCTTTCAGCAAAACGAAAACAATTCACACACATCCGTTTGTGAATTGTTTTCGTTTTGCTGAAAGAACCTTTTTGTGATCCTTGGACAGAACTTTAAAGGTGTGATTGTGTTTAAAATCCCGTGAAAAGTACATGATTTGAATGCTTTGAATGATTTCTGTACTAAAAGAAAGCTTATGAATTGCGGTTTCGTATCCAAGATTTTGAAAGTGCTACATGCAGAACTTCATTTAAAAAAAAAATGGTCCTGCCATTTGGGCTTCACTTTGTTTGGACTCGCCCTGTAGAATGAACAAGAAACTAGATCAGAACAAAATTGGAACAAAAATAATTTTGAAATGTGACGTTTATTATTGTTCACCATGACAGGCAGCAGGTCAGAGCAGGACCCACAGAGTCGAGTCCATCACGGACACGGTATCGGCCTTCCAGAAGGATGACGTCACGGTCACCACGACGTCACCGGCCCACGAGCCAATCGCAGCGCAGAAGAACGAGAAGCTGCAGAGGAACCTCTCAACGCGCAGCTCGGGCCGCAAGAGGGAGCTGCCACAAGTACCGACAAAGGTAAAAAAACATGTCACGGCTACGGCTGCGGCTAACCTCTCTGTTGTCCGTCAGTGGTTAAGAAACGAAGCCTGAGCCGCAAAATACCCGATAATGACACGGCTTTTTTGTAACATTTTTTGTCTACATGTATTTGTTCATTGACTGACCTGGTATTATTGTGTGAGGAGGAGCGTTACATTAGAACGCAATAACGTTACATTATTACGCAATAAAGTTCCAACCGTTGTAGTACAGAGTGAAGAAAAGCAATAATAATATCAATTTATAGAATCCCAACTTACAGTTTAAAATTTATTATATTTTGTGCGTACGCATTGTTTGTAATATAACTTCACAATTGTTCTGCTTCAACCAAACTTGAAGACATATAGGATCATTTGCATTTATCCCAAAAGTAACGAACAGTTTACTATCCACTGTGCCGAAAATTCAACAGGTTAGGTTTAGAACATTCTTCTTTGGATTTTGAGCGGTGTTATTATAGGAAACGAACAAAATGCTTGAAAAGCAGAAAGGTCATATGCTTTTAGGCGGTATATGATAATGACAAGTTTTATTAACGTTTATTCCATTGCAGGTATTCTTTATGAGCTTTGATGAAATATTTGATAATGTTTGCCCTTTAATTTCATTTTACACAAGGGTTTTTTCGACAATCTGCTGGAAAGTTTTACTTCCACGAAAGAGGTATCCTATATCCGAAACTAGTGTTTGACGTTATACTGTTCATGTATTCTAGCACGAGTGGGCATTTTGTGAATCTTGCACCTTCGATGAATTTTAATGACTAGTGTTACTAACAACAAAGTTTGTAATTGTTCTAACCTTTTTTCACTTGAACAAAGTCAGATTTGTCTTTACATTTTAATTGAAGAAATTGGGGTATTGTTTTTTCCTGTGTTTTATTGATCAGCAGAAAATGCAGACATTGTTGAGAAAGGGTCGGATTACAAAGAATTAAGGTAGTTGATGAAGAATATACAATAATCTCTCAAAAACAGTTTTCTAAACCGATAAAGGAGGGACGTTGGGCTTGAAATGTGCATCTATTAAGGTTAGAATTGAGTTCACGTTTGTAACTAACTTATCACTGCAGTAAACGGGAACTGTGTTATGGAAGTAACAATTGTAGCCGTGTTATGTATATAAGCTATTTTAATGCGTGGTATCGAAATAACATTGCGTTATTATGGGACCATATTCATAGAAATGCTTAGCAGATCATACTTCTTACAATGTTATTGTGTTAAGCATGAAAAGATGAGAGCCTTTCATGAGCCAAATACATTCCATGACAATTCAGCTGGTGACTTTTTTATTTATTGCTAGGCAGGTATTTTCTGAGCTTTGTAACTTTTGTGCTGTGCAGTTTCATGGATTTGGCACTTTGATTTTGCAGCAAATTGTTGTACCTTAGATTAAGAGTGTGCCTTTTAACCAAGACAAGTGTCATGCCGTTTGTGTCCTTGGGCAAAAGAGATTACCACAATTACCGGACTTTGCCTAATGGAAATGGAAAATCGGCTTGAAATGGGTATGGACCTAATTTTAGAATACTTAACATCCGGGATTATTGTTGAGGAAGTCCAAAAAATGGCTTAAAATCCCCTGGTTCAAAAGACAGAGAGAAAGCTAAGGTTTAAAATATTGTGTAAAGAGAAGTGCCCTCAATACAATTTATTTTTCATTGATATTTGTTATTGTTAGACGCAACCGACCAGACCGCAGAGCGCACCGGAGCGTATGTACAAGGTAGTGCTGGCCGGTGATGCGGCTGTGGGCAAGTCTAGCTTCATCCTCCGACTCTGCAAGGGCGTCTTCCAGAGCAACCTCAACTCAACTCTAGGTGAGTCCCAAGTGGATGTTAAGAAAGAGTTGGATTTTGTACTCTGAAAAAGAATTCGACTTGAAACATTCAAAACTTCAGAACTACCCTGCTAAACCCAACGGAGTCCAACGGTTACTTCCTGCTCAATCCAACAGAATCCAACCGTGCCTAATTTTTAGTTGTCGGCTGGATCCAACAGAGTCCATCTTGGCGTTATTTATCAGCACCCAACAGAATCCGACTCTGAATATGTAAATGCACATTTGTACAAGGGGTTTACTGCTTAATCCAACAGGCTCCAACGGGTTTAGGAGATAGTGGGATCCTGTTGGATTCAGCAGGGTTAGGGTTAGCACTCAGGGTAAATTAAAGGGGTCCAACTAATGGTCATAATAACGGTATATTTAGTTTAGGTTATTGCTCCACATTATTCCATCTGATTTCTTTTAACCTAAAAATAATTTCAAACTGTTAATTAATGCGCCTACCAGAGTTGGTACTTGAGAATCCTGGGAATTTCACGTTGTGTATCACCTCAGGTGAGTTTGTAATATTTGACCGACTTTACCGAAAGCTGGCGTAATTGGGAATCACCTGCTTCTGTATGGGAATTAGTTCAATTTCACTGTAGATTGGCACTGCAGCATAGGTATAAAGCACATGCGGCAGGTTCTGGGTGCCAGGCCAGCCTCTCTTTCAACCCAAATGTCCAAAATGGTCCATAGTTTCTGCTTATGCACGGATAGCTCAATAGTAATTATAGACATGGAAGTTAATCACAGTGCACTGGATATTGTTTTAGGCTGGCAAAATACTGGCCTCCTTGAAAACATATCGCACAAACTAAGGTCCCGGGGCCTTCACAGGTGACAGGGCGTTTAGGTGCCCAGGCGTAGGTCCAATATGCGACTTTTGCAACGTAATGTGTAGTGATGTTATGTGTAGAAGATTGTCCAACACATAGCTATTTAGGCCTCGGTCCAAGCTTTAGTATAGAAATCAATTAAAACGATTCGCAAAATTAGCAAAAAGCACAATCACTTGCTTTCATAAACTAAAATGTCAGATCGGAAAATAGCACCAGCGGACAGTGTCTGTTCAGTTGAGCACGTTCGATCACGAAATATGGTCAGCCATAGTTTAATCAATTTAACTCAAAGCAAGTATTTGGGAGCATCGCTGGTCATCAGAGGCTGAGCGTACGTACTGCTATATGCAGTGTGGAGCCAGGACTGAAAAGTAATGATATTCAACCTTGGATCAACACTTTCAGACATTCGCTGTGCTGTACAATAGCATTTGTTATTGCGCGTGCGCAACGGACGTCAAGAATCGGCCACTGGTCAACCAAGGCTGTTTGATCGAGCTTATTATTTGGCTAATTTTGATCGAGCTTTCTATTAAAACTTCGCTTCGCATGTGTACTAAGAGAAAGAATATAGGAATTGAATATCTTACTTTGTCGGTTCGACAGGTGTGGACTTCCAAATGAAGACCCTGGAGATCGACGACAAGGTGACGTCACTGCAGCTGTGGGACACGGCCGGCCAGGAGCGATTCCGCAGCATCGCCAAGTCGTATTTCCGACGTGCGGATGGTGTCCTGCTGCTCTACGACTGCACCTATGAGCGCTCCTTCATTAACGTCAGGGACTGGATTGAAGCTATCGAGGTACCAGACTAAAAGCCTTATCTCTGACATTAGCAAAAAAGTAGCACCTCTACGGTAAATGGGTAAAAAAATGAACATCTCTGGAATAGAAAGATACTTACGCGTCATTTCTATAGGAGCTAAAAAGCTGACAGTAAAAGCTGTTGAGAGCTGCACACAAAGTCGTACATAATAGAAATGAGCGCACAATTGCCGATTGCATACAATACAAATCCAATATCCTCATGTTTTGAGTAAATATCTTTAACATTTGATCCATTTTTTTGGGGTAATGCAAACATTACACTGTGCTTAATTTATGAGAAATCGTCACTATAGAAAGGATTTTACTCCATGTCTTTTGTTGACAGGACGGGGCGCAGAAACCAATCCCCGTCATGATCTGCGCCAACAAGGTGGATGCGCGCGCATCCGCCCAGGCCGAGGGCATCAGATGCGTGCGGACAGAGGACGGGATGCGACTCGCCAGGGTAAGTTTTTTTATCGGTAGTTCCCGGCGATTTCTTGCACTTTGTCTCAACAAAGAACGCTGGTAATCTATCCTGTGTACGCCATCTTGTACCAAAACTGGTGGACGAGTTTAATGAGTTAATGGTGGACAATTGTGCTAGGCAGGTAGATATACATGTAAGAGCAAAGTTAGCACTTAAATACCTAACTATAGGCCTTCATCATGCTGCCACCATTTCAGTCATGTTCCCTGTATCCAATAACAGTACTGAATGATAATGATTTTTGTGCAAAACGGAACCAGACTATTTTTCCTTCCAGCCACACTTTGGTTACGTTGATTGGAATGGGAAAAAATCAAGATGGCAGCAACAGGACAATGATCTTTATAATAACAAAAAGCTTGCAAAAGCTTGTAGCTACAAATGTACATGCTATTTTACTAGTGGACCATTAATGTAAGGTCCAAAGTCTGACATTTTTTCTGTCCCTGTAACCCTTGTACTTTGCAATTTACCATTTAAGTATCAGAAAGAATGACTTCAGACAGTTTTGTTTGTATTGGCTGGGTAGTTTGCTATTCATAATCATTCTTGGAGGACATGAATGAAGGCATCAGAATTATAAAATCATAGATGTCAGATGTATCAGGGACATAAAAAGGGGACCCCAAATTAATATATAATGACCTATATCTGATTGCATGTGATGAAGTATCTGTATCAACGAAAGCTTATGCAATTCTTTTGAGCCATTCTCGTTATAGTCATTGAAGTGCTACCTTAAACTTTTCCATGAGCTTAAAAAGTAATTAATAAATTGTATAATTACAAACAAATAAAATGACGAACACTTTACTCGTTGGCCTCATTCATTAAACAGTCGTTCAGTGCCCTGTTCATCGAGTGCAGTGCAAAGGATGGTTCCAACATTGAGGAGGCGGTCATGGACCTTACAAGGTACTAGCATTTTGTTATTATGTCTCATTTCAAGCTCATGTGCAGCTACGTTTATCTGCCTACTCCATTTGTATCTTTATTTTTGCTGAACTCGCCATTTCTTTAACCCTATTCCATTTGAATATTTGTGAATTAAAGGTTTCAACATTAGGAATATTAAATATACTCCAACAGCCGTGGAAGTTGGCAGTTTATGCAAGGGGTACAATTGTCCTGAAACCTCCAGTATTAATATTGTTTGGGGATAAGGGTACATCAGAGACCTTGTGATGGGTGACGTAAGCAAGCAAATCTGACCAGATCATACAGAACGGGTCTTAATTTGTTTTCACGTGATACTTTGTCACAATGCAAAGGAGTGTCATGGCCTAACGGTTAAGAACACCGAACTCATGCTCTGATGTTTCAGAGGCAACAGTGGCGTGGGTTCGAGCCCGGGCCCGGACACTTGTGCCCTTAAGCAAGGCACTTAACCATTGTTGTTTCGTCCTTCGGATGGGACGTTAAGCCAGAGGTCCCGTGTGTTGTATAAGGCCTAACGCACGTTAAAAAACCCAGTAAAACTTAAAGAGAAGGGGTTTGCCCCGATGTTTTTTGCCTCCTAGTTATACTCCCTTGTGGAAGTCCTTAGGAGAAGAACCAACCAAGTACCAAATACCAAGTATATAGAGAGATCATAATACAGCACCTCATTTTGATTCACTCAGATTGAAATAGTTCCACTAAGTATTTGAAAATGTTAACTGTTTCTGTATACTCATTGTAAAAAGGCTTGTTACTTTTTAAGTAGCTCTGACGGCTCGTGGCTCATTTTGTTGAGTTGGTTGATTTTGTTTTTCCAGGAAGCTACAGCAGAAAGAGGACAAGGAAGTCAGCGAGAGCGGCCTGAACCTGGAGAAGGACGGCCAGAAAAAGAGCGAGTCCAAATGCTGTATATAGCTAGGCAACCGCTATCCCAGCATTCCATGCGTCAAAGATGGCCGCTCAGTGTACATTTGTGTTTTGTAATTATGTATTTTTAAATTCATTTCGCACATTTTTGAAATCCTCTGTAAATGACAAGTTTTTAATCTGGTCACTTCCGGTAATTGACCATTTGTTTTCCACTGCATCTAAGAGAAATATTGATTTTAGAAACAAATTTTTCAATTTTAAGTGACATTTTTTAATATCAAGCTGTGGTCAAGTCAACAAAGGTCGATAGACTTTATTCACAAGTCGGCCATATTGAAAGCGAGGTAAACTCTTCATTTTTGGAACTCGCGAGTACAAATGAAAGCAATATGTCTGCTTTGTTGTACAATTAAACGTTGTAATCAAACATACTCTAACGTTTTAATCCACATTTTAGAAAAAAATTGAAAGTGGGGCTTGGAATGCACTCGAATCACAAAATAGTGTGGCACAATCCCATTCAAGAGTTTACAATTACTAAAATAAATTCAGGGAAAAAAGTTGCTAATAAATCACTGCATACTGCTTACATGAGCTTGACGTGTATCCCAGATTTATCATCACACATTTCAAAATAGGTACATCAATATAATTACAATTACCACTACATCAAAACACAATTCAAGTAGACTGTTTATTGTGTAATCTACTGTGTATATGTTGTACATATTACGAAAAGTTTTGCGTAATCTTATATTTATTTTAAAGTCTGTAGGCGTGGTACAAACAAATAGCATTTATCTACAATTCAAAAGCACTATTTTTGTAACGCAATAGATAGGCCTACTATTGAGTCTGTATATATGTAGACTGTGAAAAACGTCTTTGTAAATAGCAGGGTATCAATTTCTAAAGCGACTTTGTTGTATTCGCTTCAAAAAAGTTTAAATTTGCTGCTTCACAATTTGTAAGGCTGTTAATTGTTTTGGTTTGAAGATGACTGCCACTGGTATGCAAGGGTTCTTATCTATATTTTACCTCGACTTTAGACTTGCTACACACTTTTTGGGATATCAGTAACATATATAATTTTTAATTAAGGAATATACTGTTCAATATAACAGCAATGTTTGTACTTTGAATATACCAGTTACCTCACGATTCATTGACTCCTCGACAATCCATATCTTCCATTTTTTTAGTTATATATTGGACATTTAGTTATATTTTACGAATGTTTTGGTTGAAGTCAATTTCACTTTGTTTTCGTTTAGGGTTCTTTTGGCGTTCGTTGTCGTGCCTTATTTGCATTCTGTCTTCCAACAAGAATAACACAGGTGTCTTCTGAAAAAAACTCTTTCCTTTTTTTAGATTGTCTTCCAATTCAAACAATATGAACGAGAGCGTTTTAGAAAGTATCCTTTCTGTTCCAGGGTTACTTACTTCATAGCAGTTTTGCATGTTTTATTTAATGTTAGTCGCCTTCGTTTTGCCTAGTTTTAACTTCGCGGTGCATTTATAGTCAAATTTTCTTATTTTTTTGCTCTTAAATATAATAGTGCTTTTTCACTGTAATCACAAAAGACTTAATTAAAAAGATTATTAACACATACAAAAAAGAATCCCGGAGATTCACGGCCGACGCCATAGCCGAACACGAGATTGCAAAAACAGCTCGCTGAATAGCACGCTATCGGTTACTTCTTTCAAATTTTCTTGAAAATGTAAAGTGCAATTGTTTTAGTGTATTGATTTACCAAAACTATTATCAATGGGGGGTTCGCTCGATTAACATAACGATAGACCGCCATCGTCTCGTTAAACTGCCCGATATGTAAATAGTGCACCGTGTAATAGACAAGTAGAATGAAAAGTTTCAATACAGAGAAGACTATCTGCACCTGTAGACCAACCATATCCAATGCTTCTCATTGCAAGTTACAACGCTTGTTACATTTAATAAATGCACAAAGCACACTGCAGTTTGTAGATTAAATATTTGTGTCTTAGGAATGTCTTGACTATACTATCATTTGACGTCTCAGTGGGTGCGTTTTGGCGTGTTACACACACATCTATGTTAACACCGGCAATTGTAGACCCCCTATTGTCCCTTATCCTCATTCCTTTGTTTTGTAACTTTTTTGCAACAGCTCTCATTGGTTTTGCACACGAATTTCAATCGTGGAATATATATTGGTCGATCGTGGACGTGGACGTATTGTTTGTGCCCTGACGATTTTGTCCTAGGTCCACGTGTTTACATACTCAAGTATACTCCTGAGTATACGAACGGCAGGAGTACAACCCGCGGGTTAACAAGAGTATACTCTCAGTCAGACCGGGAGTATACTCTTGCACCAAGAGTAATGTGCACGCAACATTTTCCTGCACTCGGGAGTAGCAAGAGTAACACGCTCGAACGCACCCTGTATTTCGGGTTCAACTTTCAGACGCAGTGGCCTCTTTTATTAATTATCCACCTGTAAAGTAAATAGGCCTACATTCCTTGGATTGTCAACAAGAATGGTTTCAGATGTAATTGTTTCAGATGTAAATTGTATAGATAATGCTATGGACAGTGTACGTATTCCATCTCGGTACCATGTTGAGGGTTTTCTTTTTGTGCAATCGGAAATTAAAAACCAATAGTACAGTAAGTAAAGAGGAAATGTTTGAGTCTTTTTCCTTTGTGTTAGTCTTCTGTGCCGGAAAATGGTGGGTCGGTGTCATTTGAAATTTGGACTCCGATGAAACACGGATTCACCGTATTACGCATGCATCGGGGTACTAAGTAAGGGAAACTCGTGTGTTACGCTGATTAAGGTAGCCTTTCACATAGGAACCTAAATATCATGTAGCAGCCGGCCAGTTCGAAACAATTACTGACAAGTACAGCAAAGAATCAGGTTGTTTCCAAAATATTATAACAAGAAATACACTTGCCTGTTTCCCAAAATATTAAAACAAGAAATACAATTGCCTGTTCAATACTCTTTCCGGGCAAATTTGGAGTTAGCGGTCAACATAACGCTCGCGTGTTCATTAACAAAAACACTGGCCTCCTCTCTTGTAATGCAACAGTGACTCTCAAACTAACCCTCGAAAGCACAAATGCCCCTCTCGCAGTAATAAAAGTGTGCCCCTCTCGAGATGGAAAATTGGCCATCAAAAACAATAGTGCTCCTCTTGCGATAACTTCACGAGATGGAAAACTGCCCCTTGAAAGCACAATTAGTGCCCCGAAGACAACATAAAAATAGTGCCCCCTCTCGAGATGGAAACTTGGCCCCTAAAAATAATAATGCTCTTCACGCGAATAAAATGGTCACCGTAACTGGGTATCACAAGCATCATAGCCCCTCTCCCGATCAAAAAAATATGGTCTCTCTACATAGCTATAGTATACGAAACACAAAGAGCAAGATGGACAACGTATTCATAATGTGTTGCTCTCATAATAGGTTTTATAGTGAATTGAACGGGACCATATTCTTTTCCTCCACATTCACACCGACGGAAGGTGCCCCTGTTTCTGAGCAAGTGCCCCGTTTGGGTGTTACCCCCTTTCATGATCCATTTTCGCTGCATCACATCATATTTCAGTGCATATTTCGTAATAAAACAAAAAGAGATTTCAAGATAAATGAGGTAATTAGTAGTGTTTTATCATTTTAATGGGGCCGTATCATAAGTCCACCGCCTCATAGGTCCGACGCCATATGAGTCCAAAATTTCGGATTTATGAGGCGTCGGACCTATGAGGCATTAATTCCGCCTCATGATCCGACGCCTCATACGTCCGACGCCTCATGAGTCCGACAATGAACAAACGCTGTTTCGGACTTCTGAGGCGTCGGAGCTATGAGGTGTCGGGTGTTACCCCCTTTCATGATCCATTTTCGCTGCATCACATCATATTTCAGTGCATATTTCGTAATAAAACAAAAAGAGATTTCAAGATAAATGAGGTAATTAGTATTGTTTTATCATTTTAATGGGGCCGTATCATAAGTCCACCGCCTCATAGGTCCGACGCCATATGAGTCCAAAATTTCGGATTTATGAGGCGTCGGACCTATGAGGCATTAATTCCGCCTCATGATCCGACGCCTCATACGTCCGACGCCTCATGAGTCCGACAATGAACAAACGCTGTTTCGGACTTCTGAGGCGTCGGAGCTATGAGGTGTCGGGCCTATGCGGCGTCGGACCTATGAGGCGTTGGACTTATGGGTGGATCCCATTTTATAGAGGCATCGTGGTATATTGGTTGTACAACATAGACATCTTCAAAAAGACTCATCCATCTTTTGTAGTTGTTGAAAAAGAGGGCTTAAAGAATATTTAAGTATCATAATTTCCGATGAAACAGCAGCAGCGGCTGGACGGAAGACTACTGCGAAAATATATTGTGGGTATATATCCTGGTTAACACAAACAAAGGGAAAAGGCTTCAAAATGATTGATCATGCGTGAACTTAATCTGGATAAAAGAGTAAAGTAAAAATAATTCAGTAGGGCTGGCTTATAACATCGCTCTAGTTGTTTTATAAACGTAAACAACAGTCTGCAATACGAATTCAAGGTGCGAGGAATTTATTTGTAATTAATTACTTTACAGAAAAGGTATAATACAATTTCTAGTACTGCTCAATTAGGCCCAAAAAAGCAAAAACATGTTTGACGTCCCCGCGCGCTTCCTTTTTGGAAGCTCCCTTCTTTTTTTTTACCCCAAAAATATAAATTTTAAACAGTGACTTCATTTTGGCCTCTTTGTCGGTTGCATCTATAGCCCATAGCTGCAATATGTCATTTCCCGAGTCCAAGTGGTGGCCATTAAAAAAAAGCTGGCGGCCATCTTGAAAAATAACCCGGTCGAGTGGCCATTTTGGAGGGAAAAAAAGGGCCTCCTCCTCCAAAAAGGCAGGACGCTAAACATGATATTCTTTGCTTTGCCTTAATTCCAAAGAGTGACAATATAGATTCCAGACGTTGAAAAAATCAATCTTGTAAAAATTGGAGTGAAAACTCGATCTATTCGATGGAATTGAATTTTACCCTTAAGCGACTGGTCGGTAGTTGAGAGTGAATTTTTCACTCTTTGGCAATAAGACAGCAGATAGAGATCCTATCATTTACTAGTCTGGTTCCCAGACCAAAAGATTCCGACTATTCCTGATGAATCTTAGGTCAGGTAGCCTCCGGTAATACAATGTATTACAATTTACATCACGTGACTAAAACGGGAGGAATTCCTCCTTTTTCCGAAACTGTCCGAAGTTTGCCGAATTCATTTCGTCGACAATCGGATAGTGTCCGAGTATTTCCGAGTATAATATAGGTTTTATTAACTGCTAATTGCTTATTAAAAACTTAAAAAAACTAGTTGATAATTAATATCCATTGTTTTTATTTAGAAAACTTGAAATTCAACGACGATTTTGCACTCGGATCGTATACGAGGGGCGAACTTTTTGCTGCGTCATGCACTAGTTTGAATTTGACGACCGTTACCGGCATTTTCCAAAACGCGGCGTGGTCTCAATTCGGCTCCGCCTGCTAACAGTGCTGTTTGGGTGTCCAACTTTGAAGATTCCAGGTTAAAATTAGTCAATGTTTTTTAACAGAAGTATTATATTGTATATCATAACTGTATGATATATTAAGCAAGTGATTTATTTTTAAAAAAATTATCGGAACATTAAAAGCTTTATGCGATAAAGCGAAATCGGAAACGAAGTCGAGCTTTAAAAAAGGGCCGTCAATGTCGTCATGTTTATTTTTAGCCACGGAGGCTGCCTGACCTACAATTTAGACGTGTAGACGTCGGGGGAAATTGTCAGGTTGGGGGACCAGACTAATCATTTACTACCCCACCTCTTTCGAAAAGTTATCCTTACTTTTACGAGGTTATATGCTCGAGTACACACTGTAGCAGCGGCTGGACAGAAGACTGGTGCGAAAACGTGATCGGTAATATTTGTCTTTTGTTAAATCTTTTCCTCTGGATGAGCGTTCATTGTGAGCCCTCCATTCATGCAAGTTAACACAGCAAAAGGGGAAAGGGTTACAAATGCTTGATTATACGAATCATGCGTTGAAAACACGGCTCCGTGCGCGAACTTAAGATAAAAAACACAAACATTCAGTACATTATACAATTGCTCTACCATTAGTTTTAATTCCGTAAATAA